ATGTTAGAGACAATGCCTTTTTTTCTTTACCTTTGCTAAAGCTCATACTGAGATAATTAATATTTGTAATCAGAATATCGTCGAGGCTCAGTTAACCTTATATGCCATACCAGAGCACTTCTGGCTAATGCAGGGTGATGGCGTTTGAGCCAGTTCAGGGCACAGTTATACTGGTCAGATTGCACATGGTCAGTATCAAACAAGCTTAAGACATGCAGGAGTGATTTTTGTTCCCTGCCCTTAGCCAGCAGCATCCTAGACTGAATTGTTTGCTTACTCAGTGGACATTAGAAACAGCAGTCCTGTTGTACTGCAAGAATATTTTGTGTGTTCACCTTGGAAAGCCCAGGTTTCTGCTTCTGATGTCCCTGGAAGCGCTTCCCCAGGAGGAAGCACTGCTGTGATGTCTCTCTCGCAGGCAGAAACACCGTCATTCACCTCCCCTGTGCACAACTGCATGGGAGCAGATGAATCAGGGACATGGTGGTGGTGATCTCCATCCAGCCTCCCCAGGCTGTCCACCAGGGACACTTGGCTGCCACTGACCACCGCCATCAGGCAGAGCAGGCCGATCCCCACATTGTGCTGAAACTTGCCATTAGCATGGGCCACCAGCAGAGCTTTGCATGGGGTTACAAGCAGAGGCAGAATTTTAGGACAAGGAAGAATGCTGGAGCCACCGTCTGCATTACAGTCCCACCCTCCATCAAGGCAGCAGTTGCTCTGGCCTGTTGGGAATCAGCAGTTCTTTGCTCCCCTCGCTCTGTTGCAAACCAGTTTGAGCTTCCGAAGATGGCAGAGATTTGAAAAGTAACTCAATGCAAAGCCCCCAACCCACTTATCACCTTCTAGTGCTGGATACAGAGAGGCTGGAGCAGGCCTTTGATGCTGGTGGTGCCTGACGGGCAGCGGTGTGAAGTTGCCTTCTTTGCAGCCTCTCCAAGCCAGCACCAGGAACGATTTCTAACCTTTGTGCCCCTAATGGAGCATCGTCATCAACGCTTTACTACAGTCAGCGCTCGTCAGATCATTTCAGCCTGGGAAAGAGCCGCACAGCCACTGCAGTTCCTGTTATCCATCAGGCCCTTTCTGACCTTGCCCGTGTCCAGCCCTGCTTTGGTGCTAGCTAATCCCGATTCTCCACTGGTGCGCTTCCCAGGACACTGCTTGCCTGTGGCGCTCTGCGCAGCACCACCGAGAGCCTAGGGAAGTGATTTGGGACTGGTTTCCCCAGCAACAGGAGGTGAAAAGCCAGAGCCAGGAGCAACAAAGCATGAGAAAATTTTCTAATTGCCCGCTGGCTGTCTGTTACGTGCCTACAGAAGGGAAAGCAGGGATAAAGAGGAGAGCCTGGGCAAGGAGCAAACATTTATTTCTCTCTTCCCTTGTGTTTGCAGCTGCTGATACAACTCCCGCCCAGCAGTCCACTGCTTCCCAGTTTTGCAGGCTGCAGTGAAAGACGGATCTTGGATCTTACTGAAAAGAAGAATTAAAGAATTGCATCAGCAGTAATGGTGCAAGAATTTATTAAGAAAATGATCAAAGCAAAAACTATGAGCAAGAACCATACAGGACTGAATGAAGACTGCATTAACACTTTTTATAAGCCGCTGCATCATGAGAAGTTAACCTCTCCTGTTTGCTGAACAAAGGAAGATTATACTGAGGAAGGTGGCACGTGAAATATGGGATGGAGAACAGCAAACCGGGGGTGGGGAGGTGTTATCAGCTCCTGCAGACCCTTACACCACACACTGCACACTGCCATCACCTCTGGTGTGCAGCTATTGTGCATTTATACTTTGTTTAATGCTGACTGCAGCTGCAATCTGCTTCAACGGGTAACAGTCCTGGAGGAGACAGCACACACCTATCACCGAGTCACCTTCAGCACCACAGGAGCTTCTTGTTGCGATACCGTGTTTCTATACGAATGGTTCCTAAACCTGTTTGTTTGGACGCACCCACCCACGCCCCAGGTGCCTTAAGGCAAGCTGCTACCATTCGCCCTTCAGCCAGAGAACCCCCATCCCAAGGCTAATTAAGGTTTGCACAATCATAATTTGCACTGGCTTACTGACCCTCCTCTCTCTCTTTCTGGAGGGTCAATCTCAGATTCGCTCTCTGATGGAAGGCAAGAGGACAGATAGGAACAGCCTCCTCCTTGCTTCACCGGCAAGCCTGATAGGAGGTAACGCCATACGGCTGCACCACGCCAAGCATCTCTTTGCTTGGAAACGTCACTGTTTTACTGTATGGTTCCTGCTGCTCCAGCAGGAAAAGCAACTCACATCTGTTCAGGAGAGGACCTCGTGTCTGGTAATGCGCCCTCCTCTAGCTGCTCCCCATCTTAACATTCTTCTGTTATGCTCCCCTGACTCACCCAGAGTAAGAACTTTCTGAGACGCAGCAATAATGCTTGCGGGTTCACTGTGTTTCAAACACTTTAAATAAATTATCTACTCTTTTTGCTCAATTTGTACACCTGCAGTCAGGTAAAAATTGCTATGGAGCTACAACTGCGCTGGCAAAATTTCCAAGGAGAAGATGCTCGGCTACAGCATCCTCCGGTTCCCTCAGGAGCCCCACTCCCTCCCCAGGCTGCAGTAAGCCTCCTTGCAAGGGAGTGAAGGTATTCTCCTCAAGTAGGAATGGCCTTGAGCACTCTTCCAGATCTCGGGCCCTCCCAAGGACCTGCAGACCTGTGACATCTCAGTGAAGAAGTGGCAGCAGTGTGGATCACCACACACGTTACCGCATGGATTTCCTGTGGGTCTAGCAGGCCGCCTCCAGCGCTCTCAATCTTGTAAGAATCAATGACTAAACAAGCCACTGAAGGCAGAAAAGCTGTGCCAACAGGCTCTGTGGGGGAAGTTGTTAACTACCCTGTGGATGGATGATATTTGAAGCTAGTACATCCACACCTGTAGGACATATTTGATCTATGGGGTGAGCAGCTTGATCTGTTGAGTAGCTTGATCTTCTGAATTATCTTGTCCCTGTGTTTCTGATCCAGTTCTAGGCCAGAAGTCTGAATTAACAATTGCTGAACCATTTACTGAAGACTGGGAAATTAAAGACCACAAGTAATGA